ACTACAATATCAAAGTTTCAAGCTCCCAGCAATAGTTCATGCAAAAGCACCCACAATCAACACATTAACATCAAAGTATCAAGATCCAAGAACAATATCAAAATAATATCATACTCAAAATCTAAAACTTCACCAAATACATAAACTCAAACATACATAAGTTACAATTTTTCTTATCTTGTTCAATGATGAACTTCCTCCTCCTTCAGTAAATCTTCGAAAAAGTTCTTCCATATTGTCAAACCTTCTTTCATATTCTTGACGTTCAATTTCAAACAACCTCTGGGTTTCCTAGTGTTGAGTTTGCAATAACTTTTCATTTTTTGCTAGTCTAGCCTCCAAAGCATGAACATATTCTTGTGAGTATCCTCATGCTTGTTTCTGACTTGGTGGCTTTGGACCGTATCTCATCCCTTTCGTGTACGATGATTGCTTTCCAAACACTGTTTCCATCGCATCTTGCTCACTTAATTCTTTATCTTCTTCCTTCGCTTTTTCCACCAACTCCACTACTTTTTCCTACCACAATAAATATATTAAGTTATAATTTTGACTAAATATTACCATTAAATTTATGTTATTAAAATGAATACTTACATGTGCAAGACGAGCGGCTTCATCGGTCCAACCTTTCGTCGGATGGTAGTGTGTTGCGAAGAACAACTCGAAAGGGCTCAAATACGTCTCATCTTCCTTTTTCTATTACAATAAGTTAGTTAATAATAATAACAATCAAAGCATATATTATACTACCAGAAACAACAACTTTATACCTTGTCTTTGCGATAGGATAAAAATGATTTCGGGCCAGCGCGATGATTAAAGGGTAGTTTACTCCGACTAACTTTGTTTCTCGCTGACTTTGCCTACAACAAGAATACATACATATATATTTTATATATATATATATATATATGTATGTATATATCACTATTTCTAATTATTAGTAATCAACTTCAGTTATTAGTTACCTTTCATTCACTAATTTCTCATCTATTACACAGCATATTCCAAACTTCTGGTGTAATTTGTCCATAGGGTTATTGTCGAGCCGTTTCTGCATCTTCTAAATCACGATAGTACCTATGTAAGCGATGTCGATAATCTTTGTAGCGGGTCCCGATCTCATACTTGATATAATCATAGTGATGTTTAACATGAAGGTCCACCTCAAATTTATTCTGCATATGTAAACCAATGAAAATAGATAACATCACATTCATTTCACCAAATTATATGATAAATAGATACATAATAATAAATCTTACCAACAAAAATTGAATGATGGTAGTATATGTATGATCTGAAATATCTTTTTTCTTTGTAATGTCTAAAGGTACATTCCAGCGCGTCAGATGACCGATCTCACTATTGAATAAACTAGCAAGATATCCCACAGGTTTGCGAGCTTCGGCGGTCCATGAAATTGGTATGGGTTTGCCTCCATTTGCATCTCTAAGTCTGTCTAAGGCGACGACACTGTTTTCCCGATGCTCTACAGCTGCTCCTTCATATTCGCTATCTGAAGACATTATCCATGCAAAAAAAAAAAACACAAAAAGAAACACATTCTAATAAATTATAAAAGATTATATTATACAACATTGCAGTAATATTTTATATATCAATCATGTGTACGTGTCAGAGTTATCGCGATCGCTTTCATCGTCATCGTCATCGTCATCTTCTGACGATGTTGCATCATCCTCGTATTCTTCTTCCTCCTCATCTTCTTCCTCCTCATATATGTCTTCCTCTACATTTTCGTCAAAATCTAAGACTATCTCAAGCCTATCAATATTGTCGGATATTATAATTGGATCTATATCGACTCTATGAAATGTATGTGCTTCAAGATCCGCTTCTTCAACTTCACATTGATTTGTAACTCCTTCACATACATCAACTTCTTCTATTTCAGGCACATCCCATAAATGTCTATATTCAATTTTTTGAACTACTTTCCAACCAGACCCTAATTTGTGATCTTCAACATAGAACACTTGTTGTGCTTGAGATACAAGTATGAATGGTTTGTCTTAGTACCACAAATGACGTGTGACTATGCTCGTAAAACTATGGTCCTGGCAAATACGATTCTTCCTAGAATTCGTATCATACCAATCACATCTTAATAGAAGAACTTGTTTTCTATTAATATAACTCAATTCGATAACTTCTCTAACGACACCGTAGAAGTCAGATAACTCAGTATTATGTCCACCCATAACACATACTCCACCGTTTTGTGTTGTGCACTGACCATCTCACTCAATTGAGTTAAATCAAACTCCATTTATAACACAACCATTATACAAACGAATTCGAATATCAGGACCACATGCTAGTGTATTCAACTCATGCACAACAACGTTCGAATTTGAAGAAACTTCTGATCTCATCTACAGACATATTTTACAAGACTAAACGTCATTATGGAAATAGTAAACCATAATGGATAGATGATGTAAGATATTTTGATGGAGTAGAACTCAACTTTATTTTAAATCACTCTGGAAATTCATGTAAACTGGCTAAATTACCATTGTTTTGCTGTTATAACTAGGGGTGTACAGTTGACTACCCAAAACTGAACCGACCGACCGTAACCAACCGAACCGAGGTTTTGACCCCCGTCCGTTGGTTGTCGGTTTTTTAGATTCCAAAATTTTTGGTCAGTCGGTCGGCGGGCATTAAACCCCTATAACCGACCGAACCGACCGACATATACATAAAAAAACCATTTTTTATATATTTATTTATCTAATATTATAATTTATATATATTTTATAAAATATTCAGTTTATAGCTTTTAATTTCTAGGGTTTTCATTTTCATTTTCCCTCCCTTTTTTCTCTGCCTCCCTCTCCTTCTTGAATCTCGGCTTTTCCTCTCCATTTTCCCTCTCCTCTCCTCTTGAATCAAGTCGCCTCTGCCGCCCTCATTTCCGCCGGCAGCCGCTCAACCTTCATCGCCGACAACACATCAACAGCCCTCAACTCATCGTCAACGGCTTGATGCCTTTCCCACTCAACCCTCCCCTCGTCGCCGACGCTCTCTCCCTCAGTACCCTCGCTTTCCGACACGATCCAACCCCACCGACTACCAGCGGTTCGGCACGGCGGCATCCATCACTCAAACTGGAATCGGAATCCGAGTAAGTTTTGATTTGATTTAGTTTTTTCTTTTCAACTTCGAATAGCCGCCGGCCGGAATCTGACCAAGCTCCAATATACAAACTTTGTTTCGGTTGGCGCTTGCGTTTGATTTAAGCGATCAGCGCTTCCGTTTTTAAGCGATTGAATGTGATTTTTTTTTCAACTTCGAACAGTAGGATTGCTATTTAGAAGTCCCAAATTTATGAAATGGATTGTTCATAGAATGATTTTTGTTTCGGTTGTTCTATCTGTTTCATTCATGAATATACAAACTTTGGAATATACAACTTCTACCTGTTGTGCTGTGTGTAGAGAAAGAGAGATATATTAACTTTATTTATTTTTAACAAAACTTTTATATATTTTTAGGGTTAATATGAATTCTACAGAACATGGAATGACGATCGGAGAGAAAAAAGTTGATACTATCAACTTAGATCCAATAGAAGATTGTTCTTCAAGTCCAAAAAAAAAGGAAGCGGAAGAATATCAAGAGCATTGTTTCGGATCATTTTGAGAAGTTGAAAGGTGATCCTTCTAATCCTCAAGCTAAATGCAAATATTGTGGAGATATGTATGCATGGTGTCACAATCGCACCTTTTCCAAGTAGCTCGAGCGATTGTGCGGCACTTGCTCTAGCTCAAACGAGCAAGTCAGCCGAGAAAAACTGTAAGTTGCGGGCAATCTCGATCGTGGGTCTAGCCTCCGCTCACGTTTTACGAGAAAATTGGTTTTAGAAAACATGAGAGAGAAAAATAGTTGAAAACATCTTTAGAATAAGCATTGTAGACATTGGATGCAAGAAAGCTTTGATTGCAAGAAAGTATACAACGCTTGGTCAGGGGGAGGTTTGATGACTACTTGGTCCCCCCTAAGGTACATTATAAGGCATTTTTGGTGTGGCAGGTGTAGACGTCCTAACTGGCGAGGAGTCACTCGGTGGCCTACAAGGCCCGTGTGAACTCCGATTGGCTTGAAATTTGGCGTGCTTACATATCTTACTAATACACACCTAGTTCCAAAGCCGCTCGACCAAATTCCACCTACAACCCAAAAAACCCGATACAAGAAAACTACACTAGAAAGCTTTAAAGACATGAAAGAAAAGCGAGTGGTGAGGATGGTTTTGACATGCGGCCATGGGTAACACACCCTGGACAAGCATGCCCACAACATTCTCCCCCACTTAAACGGTTGACGTCCTTGTCAACTGCTACAGCTTGAAGTCCTCGATCTTCGTCTTCCAGGCTTCAAGGTCTTCTTCTCGTTCCCAGCTGGTCTCTGCATCAGGTAGGTCTTTCCATTTAACGAGGAATTTCCAAACGTTTCAAACGGGTCTCCCCACCTTTCTGGTTCTCTCTGCAAGGATCTCTTCTGCTTCTTTGTCTTCCTTAAGTTTGAAGTCGATGGCGGTCTGCACAACAGTATTGCGTTCGTTATCCTCAAGGTCGGGGTGATAAGGTTTTAAATTGCTCACATGGATTACCGGGTGGATCTTCATCCAAGTTGGTAACACCACCTTATACTAGTCCCTCGTATTTTCTCACGAGTCTCTGGTCTTTGCACCCTCGGAAACGAATCTGTTCTGGCCTCAGCTTGATAAGAACTTTGTCGCCTACTCGAAATTCGAGAGGGCGTCTCTTGCGGTCGGCCCATTTCTTCATATGCTTGGAAGCTTTTTCCAAATATGCTCGAGCAATCTCTGTCGTCTGCTTCCATTCCTTTGTGAAATTGTGGGCTTGAGGACTTTTCCCTGCATACGGGTGGTCAAGAATATGTGGCATAGACGGCTGTCTTCCGCACACCATCTCAAAGGGGCTCTTTCCTGTTGAAGAACTCGTCTGGCCGTTAAAACAGAATTGAGCCACATCTAACAGCTGGACCCAGTTCTTTTGTCTGGCATCGACGAAGTGACGCAGGTATTCCTCGAGCATGCTGTTAAATCTCTCTGTTTGACCATTGGTCTGTGGGTGATAACTCGAGGAAATGTTTAAGCTTGAACCCAGAATAGAAAAAAGTTTAGTTCAGAAGGTTCCTGTAAATCGGCCATCCCTGTAGCTAACGATGCTCGTCGGAACTCCCCATAGCTTTACTATATGTTTAAAGAACAACTGCGCCGTCAGCTCGGCGGAACACGTCTTGGGAGTCGGAATGAAGGTTGCATATTTGGAAAATCGATCAATAACGACAAGAATGACTTCATGTTCTCCTACCTTGAGCAAGTGGGAGATGAAATCAAGCGACACACTCTCCCATGGTCTCATAGGAGTTGGTAGGGGTTCAAACAACCCTGCTATTTTAGTCATTTCTACCTTATCTTGCTGACAGATAAAACAGGTCTTCGTGTATTGCATCACATCTTCCCACATATTTGGCCAAAAGTACCCCTTTTTCAGCAAGGCATAAGTCCGTTGCCAYCCAGGGTGACCAGCCCATAGAGTATCGTGACACTCGTGTAGGAGCTTCTTCCTCAAGTCTCTCATTCTTGGCACATACAGTCTGTTTCCCCTTGTAAATAACAAGTCCCCTTCGACCCAGAACTGACGGGTCTTCCCGGTCTTAGCCAGCTCGACCACAGTTCGGGCGGAGGGGTCTCTTTGAAGATATTCTCTGATGAGGTCGCGGACCGACCCGTCCATTTTGCTGGCGTGAATGTGGGCTAACATGTACAGGGTCGCATGTTCGCCTTTACGGCTAAGAGCGTCGGCAGCTTGGTTGGACTTTCCTACCTTGTGTTCAAACTTAAAATCAAACTCGGCTAACAATTCCTGCCACCTGGCCTGTTTGGATGTTAGCTTAGGCTGATTGAAGAAGTGGCAAATGGCACTGTTGTCCGTCTTCACCACAAAATATGAGCCCAACAAGTACTGCCTCCGAGACCTGAGGCAGTGAACGACCGCTAGCATTTATTTCTCTGATACGGTATAGCGTCGTTCCGCATTTTTCAGCTTGCGACTTTCGTAAGCGATCGGATGACCATCTTGGAGAAGGGCACCAGCTTCTTGCAAGCATGTATTTTTTCATATCCTTAGCCCAAATCGCGTAACATCTTCTTTGCATCATAATAAGACTCTGGAATTTTACGGTCATTAGGAAGGACTTCTTTAAGTAATTGCAACAACATATCAAATAATTTATTATTCCATAGATTAAGTACTTTGATATGCATTAACTTAATCATGAATGTTAGTACCGAAAATTTCGTACAAAATGTGCTAATGATACTTTCCAAAATTAAAAAATCCCAAAATCCCAAAACCCCATCCATTTTCGAAACACACTCCTTTCTTCTTCCTCGTTTTTCTTTTCTTCCTCCGTTCCTCTTCTTCGACCCTCCGTTCCTTTTCTCCGACCATCTGCCTTCTTCTCTGGCCAGCTCCCTTTTCTTTGTCGCAAGAGCCTCTTCATCTCCGACTGCCTTCGAAAAGAGATTTCCATCGATTCTTATTCTCCAGGGCATTTATGCCTGCCTTCATTTCCGGCTGCCTCCATTTTTCTCAGTCGCCAGAGCAGTTCTTCTCCAGATTGAAAGGTTTGCATTCCAACAAATGTTTTCAATTTCTGGTTTGGTGTGAAATATTGTATATTTGAGGATATATAGTATAGTGATTTGATTATGGTATATTTTATAACTCAACTTGTATATATGTGGATATGCGGATATATACTATAGTGATTTTGAATGTATGTATGCTAATATATAAGTGGATATATCTTATAACTCAACTTGTATATATGCGGATATATATTATAGTAATTTTGAATGTATATATGCAGATATAGAAGTGGATATATACTGTGATTTTGAATATGCGGATATATGTTTATCAAGACTTCAAAAGATGTTTCTGTGAGTTTAAATTGTCTTTGAAGATTGAGCATCAACGTGGGAGTGAATTAAGGGAAAATCAATATTTTTGAAGGAGTGAATTAAGGGATTTGAATTGAAAATTAGTATGGGGCCACAATAATTAAAGGATTATGATAACAATTTATAAAATTAAAATCTTTTATATTTCAAAAAAAACAAATAACTATAATAAATATAAATCCAATAAATAAGGGTAAAATCAGAATTAAAATAAATTCCTACCTGTAGAATCTAAAAGTGTAAAATTAGAAAATTTTAGACATTTATGTAAATAAGTTTTTGAAACAGCTCCTCGAAGACATTATCTCTAAAATAAAAAGAAACTCATTTCGATTTTCTTAAAAGTCTTTTGGACATCAACGCCCATCTAGTAACGATTTTACCTTTTTTTTATGTTTTTAAAAATTATGATTGTTTCCTCATAATTAATTTATTTGGTACATTTTTCTCACTTCTATTAAAAAAACATATTTGAATTCTTATAAACATTTAAGAAACAATAAGTTCTGAAAACTAGTTTGAATTTTCACGTTTTAAATTAAATTTTGACAACGCTTTTTAAAAGTTGATTACAAAAGGAAAAAAAAAATACCTTAAAGGTAATATTTATAAGCTTTATTTTAAAAAATAGAAAACTTAAAATAAAAATGGTATCCAATCAAACCATAAGAATATAATTTTAGCTTAAGATATGAATAACCACAAGTTTGGTATATGCTTTTAAAGAATTATTTAGATAAAAAAAAAAGTCAATATTGCAAAAAGTAGCACATGTTGTACTAAAAAGGAAAAAAAAAATACTATGATACACTATGCCATCAATATGTCAACTAATTAAATATTACATAAAATTAGGTAATATCTTTTTATCAGGGTTAAGTCGATGGATTAATGAACTTTAAAAATTGATATATTTGTAATTTACAAAATCATAATGATAGTAGTTACTTTTATAAAAACAAATAATCATGGTCCTTAATCTCAAATTAATTAATTAATTTTAATTAATTAATTAATTAATTAATATTTTGATGATAGCAAATTTAATTATGTTATTTGACAATTTTAATATTTTGGAGTATTCATAGCGTAGGGTTC